CGGTGTTCTAGTAGCCAATACGACATTCCCTTTTAAATTCAAACATATCAACTGTTTTCTACCCATTTGCCATTCTCTCACAACTTCCGACAATTTTTTCGTGAGATTTTTGGGTTGCTATAGGAGAACTGTAATAAAAACAAATTGGGTCACCATATTTTACATCGCTTGCTTTTGATTGAAGTGTAGTATTAGCATTCGTGACTTATATGTAGTTGTTGCAAACGTTAATTTATCTTCTTTTGTATGTTTTTTTTTAAATTGAAGCTTGCATAACGTTTTTTCGAGTCCACTCAGTTTAGAGTTTAAAATGGTTGAGGTCTTTTTTTTCGCTTTCCCGGGTACTACGAGAAACCAAGCAATCCGTGTCATTGTCAGGACTCGCTGTCGGTGCCGCTTTCGCTGGACTACGGCCGATTTGTGAATTCATGACATTCAACTTCTCCATGCAAGCTATAGATCAGATGATCAACTCTGCTGCAAAGACCTACTATATGTCAGCAGGAAAGGTGTGTTCTGATAGAATTTGAACCCATCAAATGTAGACATTGATCATTCAGCGCGATCGAAACATCATAAAATGTGTATATTCGAAAGAGCTTGCTTGGATTTGTTGATGTTAATTGTTCGTTGGTGATGCGGCACACGCTTTTTTGCTATGGTCTCTTTTATGCTGAGAATGATAAATTTAGGTGCCGTGTCCAATTGTTTTCCGTGGAGCAAATGGTGCCGCCGCTGGTGTTGCAGCACAACACTCCCAGGACTTCAGTGCGTGGTACGCTCACTGCCCGGGACTGAAAGTGCGTGCCTGAACTTATTCACCAATATGTGGACTAAATAATTTTGTGCTCCAACAATTGGTTACACCTAAAACAAGCAATTATGACTGACACTGAAGCCATCATTTGTATGGAATTTGCAGAAATGCACAGAAGTGCACATTCTCTATGTGCGCGACATCTGCACTAGTTAGTTGAAAAGACATGAACATTCTATTATGTTGGAAAATTGCAGGTGCTGGCACCTTACAGCTCGGAGGATGCGAAGGGTCTTTTGAAGGCTGCAATCAGGGATGATAATCCAGGTGAGCGCTTTCTTCAAGGGTTAGTGTGTTGGAGTTAGCAGTGTTTATGCTGTTATTAGTAGTACTATTATTGTGCTTCAACTCTTTTTTGACCTCTCTTTCTTGAATTGAACAGTTTTGTCAATTTAGCGTTTCTAAGTCTTTTTTGACTCAGTCCGGACCGCTTACCACTCATGGAGTGTCATACTCTCTTTTTCTATGGGCGCTTTCATAGACGCTTCCGATCGAATGATCGCGCAGCATTAGAAAAAGCGCCGATCGTTCGATCGCACGTTTCGGACGGTCGGAAGATCGATACGTTCTCAATGCCGTGAGATTGCTACGATTGCACGAGTAGTGGATGAAGGTGCCCACTCTGCTTCCGCGTGACATCCATGAGGTATCATTAGTTTCCCTAGCATGTTCTCAGTGGCCTTTGCGCATCAAGGTTTTATCAATATCAATCTTGGAGGGTAAAGCAGGAGCAAATTGACAAATTCGTTTCGATTCGGAAGGTTTCATTTGGTTGGGAAATTAGTGGATCAGTCAACTACTCTGTTTTTGGCTTTGGTTTCAAGCATCGGAGATGCTAAGATATGGGCACAAACTGCGATCTGTTCAAGTCACGGGCTCGCACGCTCGTCAATCCACTGCAATATATCGACTATTCAAGCAGTTTATCTTCTGAACTGATTCATTTGCTGAGTTCGCTCCCTTTCTTTAACAGTTTACTAGCTAGGAAAACAATCAATGGACGGGAAATGCAAGCTTCTGTCGAATCTCTGTAGTTCCGCCATTTGTCTCAAGCTTCATTTTGTTGACATTTAGTTTTTCTTTATTTCCTCTGTTCTAGTTGTGTTTTTGGAAAACGAAATTCTCTATGGTCATTCGTTCCCTGTTACCGAAGAAATGCAGAAGGAAGATTTTGTTCTACCCATCGGAAAATGCAAGATCGAAAGGTCGGTTCATTCCAAGGGTAAATTGGTATTCTCTGGGATTTCTGGCTGTTTGCAGTCTGGAGATCATTACATTGTTCTTCTCCAAGGAGTTGAGTTGTCCCTCGAGTTTGTAAAGAGTGAAGCATGGGATTTCCGCCGAGGTGAGATCATGTTCCGTGCAATTATGTGTGTTTTTGCATGTTCCTGTGAAGCGTTGATATATGTTTATATTTTCAATCAGGTTCTGTGGCTCCTGATTAGATTTCGTTCTCGCTGTTTCATATTTTAAGCTAATAATATTTTCAACAGGTAATCAACCTTCGATCACTGCGCCCCCTAGATTTTGATACTATCCAGAGTCAGTGATGAAGACGAACCATCTTGTCACCGTCGAGCAGGGCTGGCCGTTTGCAGGTAAAAATTTCTTTATTCCAGAAATTGCGCTGTGATACTTACCTTCTGGTTCGTGTTTTCTTTTTTTTCAATTGCCCCTATTGTCATTCCTAAAATTTTCTTTCATTAGAGTTTCTTTTCCGATGCGTGTCGATTGTTTTTATTTATGTTGTAATTTTTGGCTCGTGAGATTCAGTGGTCCGCTGGGCTTTTTTAGCCAGGGGGTCTCATCCCATTTTGAAGTTTCATATTTCTGGAAGACGTGAGAAGTTATCTTTGGGAATTGGGCGTAATTTTCAGGAAAGGTGAGGAAATAGGTGACGCTTCAGTCGTTTCGGGGACAAAGTTTCCAGTGTGCAGGTGGTGGCAAGATTTTCAGAAATCGAATGCAAAGAAATTGTGGCTGGCTGTTTGGAAGAGGAAGTGATTGGAGGATATTGTTTGAGAGAGCTCCCTCATGGGAGACGTCACACGTTGTCGAAATTTCTCCCAGAGTGATGGTCCATGTTGGGTGGTGCGACCAAGCAATTTGTGGATAGCATATGTGAGTTGCGTGGGCGTTCAATGTTGTATTCCAATCACGTATTCATGGGGTTGCTGAACTGATCACCATATTGCCTGTTTTGTTGTCTCATCGAACAGGTGATTTTGTCTAGGCAGACTGGCTAATTCAGCAACTTAATGGTTCATGAAATAGAGTTGTTGTAGGAATCGGAGCAGAAATTTGTGGAAGTAACGAGTCGCCGGCGTGGGACTACTTGGATGCTCCTATTTTGCGTGTGACGGCGTAGACGTACCGATGCCATTTGCCCATCATCTTGAGGACGCATGTCTTCCCCGAGCACCTCAGATCGTGGCCGCTTGCAAGAAAAGTCTCAACATTAAGTAGAGTGTAGGTATGTTCGTTTTCCTTTTTTTCTTTGCAAAAGTGAAGGTCGAAGATGGATCTGTTTGCTTTACCTACCTCAAAGATGCTTTGGAATGTGTACATATTAATTCGCCAATGCTAATTATTAACGAGGTGATTCACTGTTCACACCATAACTATAGGAGCAGTATTTCTAAATTTCTCATGCGATTGTTCTGGGTTCGAACACAAATAAAAGCGTAGCAGATAGTTGATGGCTTTTGCTTCTTCATCAGCTGTGCAAAAAGACATTATGTTTCATTGATGTTTCACTCTATGCAGCAAATTTTTAGTGCCCAAAGTACAACGATGACTACAACTAATTTCTACAAATGTTCTTTTAGCGGAATTAGTGTTCAAAATTTTGCGCCCGCCATGGATCCCTTTTAGGGAAACCCTTTGTCGACGAGTGACTCACAGTGTTTCAATCAGTAGGCGTAATTTAATATGAAGTTCAAAATATTACGACGTTAGCTGAACTGGTTTGTGACGACTCCCACAAACTGTCACCTCGAATTCCCCAAGCTGTCTATAATTTTTTTCCAAAGCAATGACCGTTAAAGCAACAACCTCGGCAAGGACATGTCAAAGAATCTATTCAGTGAGTGGGGTACAGTGTCCACGAATATTACAAGTGTGCCGTTGTAATTTTATTAGAGCGCGTGTTATCAGTTTTAGAAAGAGTGGGAGACTCATTCAATCTACAGTAGCGGTCAAAAGTTTGGAAACTTTTTTATTTTTGATCTAGCGTGGCCAATAGACAACGAAATTGTCCCAAATTCACATATTATATACAAAATCAAGTGTAGAATACGATGGCTACATATTTTGAAAAACGAAATCGCAATTGAAAAATACGATTTTTATAAGAAGCGGCGCGTCAAAAGTTTGGAAACTTCTCAATTCCGAAGCGAATTCACAACAGTAGCTCTTAAATCTACATGAATTATCAGTTTGTTGCGTAGATCGAAACTTCTAGCTACTATCGTTTTTTTGTTATTGAATTGATTTAAAAATTATTTTAGAACTTTTGAGTGAAGCCTACATTTTGTGAACTGAATCAAATTGCTTGGTAGGATTCTTCGCTGGAATGTGGATTGTACGGCATGCCAGCTCTTTTTTTGGGGTGCAGAACTCAGTTAGACTTAAGATCTTGACTTGGTCTCTTCACAACAGCTTTTTCTCCTGAGTTTGGAAGGCGGCCAGGAGGAGGTAGGCCCGCATCGGAAT